GTGCCTTGTGATGAGTGGAGTAATACCACTTGTGTAAAAAGAATAAAACAGCTTCAGGGACAGGGGGGACTCCAACCCACCCACCCCACCCTCCAGTGCTGGCTGGGCGACCCCCAGACAGAACTCTCTCCCTTCCCTTTCCCCCCCTTCCCATTCTGAAAAAAATTCCCAGAGCAGGGTTGGGTTGTGTCAGCCTAGCCCCGCTCCTGGCCCACACTGACAGGCATTAATGAAGGTGCTCCACTTTGGAGTGTCCTCATGTAAACCCTGATGAAATGAGGGTTCAGATTGTTATGCGATCCGGCATTTTTAAAGTGCTCTGCAGCCGTGAACTTCTGTCAGTGCATGGCTGTAGAGTGCTTTCAGTGGCCAGCTGTGCAACAGATAGTCACGTTTGTCATTGCCCGTAGATACTGCAAACACATTTCTACAAGTGCTACTTTTAATTCTATTAATGACTAACAAATAAAACAGCAGTAATGGCACAGCAGACAGGCAGTAGCTTCAATACCAAAGACCTATGAGGAATGACACAACAATATAGAAGCAGATTGTTGCTAGATAAATATGTTGCTAGATTTTAATTCTATTATAGGGGATGAATAATTTCATGAACACGAACACCTAAAACGTTTATAACTATGCAAGATACAGTGATGGAAAGGTTAATGAAAACTCGTGCTTCAGGGGTCACGCTGATTCATTTTGGATGTCAGGAAGAAATTGATTAGGCATATTCTATTATGGAAGACAAGGTTCGCTTTCCTTGTCATGTAAAGTATTGGCCTCTGACAGATCAGTGTGCTAATCTAGATGGATTTAGTCTGGTCTGATCCTGAGTGCTAAATTTTGTTTTCCGATATCCTAAGACCAATACATTTTTTTCCATGTTCAAAAGTACATTAATATTTTCAAAACAGGTTTTAATGGGAGTATTTATTGCAGAAGTGAGTGCTGAAAGAGTGGGATTAAATTCAACTCATCTCTATTTTTAGATGAAATAGGTCAGTTTATACAGAACTTGTTAATCTCTCTGTTCCCATTCAGTGCTTCTAAGAGCATGTCATTTCCATTACAGAAATGAGAGAGAGAGAGAGACTTACAGGTCAAAATACTGTTTCTTCCTCTGAACTTTGCTTGCATAATTTCATGCAAATGCCTTATGCA